TGCAAAAAAGAATGTACCTAATTAACAAGCATAATTTAATTAACCTATACAACATACATAAATTGGGAGAGGTGGGTCTAAGTTCTGGTGAAGCGCGCATCTCTTTCAAAAAGTGAAAAATATCCGACTTTGGAGCCTAGGAGAGGCAAGACAGGATTCCCGGAATATAAATATTTCCTTATTTCTCGATAATATTTCTCGATTGGACCTTTTATAAAGAAAAAGAGGAATTTATATAAAGCTATATTTGAAGGTTATATAACCTATATCTGTGCACGTGTTTGTCTGACAACCATTGCAAGAATTTGTTTTTTTTTAATTTGGAACTGATGTTGTCCAATCCAGTTGATTTTTTTTTGATTTCCTAAAGGGAAACTTGAAAACTAAAAATCTTTAAATTTTGACTTGATACAGCTAACCCAGCACGGATTTGTAATCTACGCCCAAAAATTAAGTCCACGTGTCCGAGCGTTTAGCTGTGATTTTTCACCTCCCTACAGTATAATTAATGACATCCCTCCCCCATGATAACATTACTCCCGATTTAGATAAAAAATGCCTTCCCCTGCATAGCATTCCTTTTCTAGCAAGTTATCTAGTATGGAATTATTACCTATACCTATATATATTGAGCGTGGAATCAGAGCAAGTACTTTCTTGATGAATTCCTTACCTTGCCTGTCGGCTTGTTTGGCAACTTTCATCATCGAAAGTTATTGCTATATACTATAGTTTAAAAACAACAAGGTATTTTTAAAAAAACGTTCAAATAAATCAACTTTGTCGAAACATTTCTAAAAGAGTTTTTTCTTATTTTCATAAAATTAAAAAAAGTAATTTTTATTGCTGATTTAACGATTACTGACCCGAAAGCAAACTGAGTAGTAATTAAATTAAAGTATATTTACTGTCGATATTAAAAATAATTGTAAAATGCCTTTAATCTTTCTTAAGTATAGGTGGGTATTGCTTAATTCTATTTAATTTACATAATTTAATCATTTAACTATCTTTTCTATTAGATTAAGTATCTAATTAAGAGAAAACATTAAATAAACAGTCAATTAATTATAATTAAATTAAAACGTTTAATTTAGCTTCATTACTATTTTTTAAATTGTTTCATTTAGTTGTTTTTTCTTACAACCTCTTTTGGGGAAAAATCGTTTTCGTTATTAAATTTATACAGGGTATCCGGTTATTATAAGTATTTATGAAACATTTTTTCGGGCGAATATTTGTGTATCAAATTTATTTATCTTTAAGCGTTCTATAATTTAAGCCTTATTATTGTCAACGCTCACGACCAAAGTATTCGATTATCTCCTAGGCTGTAAAAATAATTTAGACTAATCAGGTGAAGTTTTTTACATCGTAGTCTGTAAAAACCCGTTAGGACCAATCAAAAAATTCAAGATCTTAAAAATTAATTGAGAAACGTAAGAAAAAAATTTAATAACAAACTCGTATGCGCAGATTCCAAATTTGCAATAAAAACATTGCATATCCCATGGCGATTTAAACGTTGTACTTTAAACTACTCATTCTGTACTGCATACTGCAAAATGTCAACACCAACTCCAACAGCATCCCTGATTGAGCGGGTATATATGTTGAAAATAATTGGAAGAAGAACCGATCCCTGAGGAAGGCCTTTATATAAAGTTTCCAGCAAATGAATCAACATGTATATATTTTTTATAAGTTAACATATCAATAATCTTAGCAAAAGAACTGGAGATTCCAATTTCTTCTAACAATTGACCTAATATTTCAGGCAAAACATTGTCATACACCGTCGGTGTAACACCATCCAGGAATACTGAAAGAGTTTTTCTACCTCTCATAAACCCTGAAAGAACGTCCACATACAAAATTGATATAATTTCCGTTACACCTTTTTCCTTTCTGAAACCAAATTGGAATGAGGGCAAAATGTTTTGTTTTCCAAAGATTTTTCGAATGCCTGAAGAAAGTGCAATAGGTCTGCAATAGCTATGTGGATCTTTTCAGGGTTGAGAATTGGAATAATGGGGAATGACATCCATCTTGCTATTTTCTAGAAGGATAAGATTAAAGAAATCCAACAAATAATTCTTAAATTTATCTGGTATATGAGTCACCATGCTGAATGAAATTTCATCATTCCCGGTAGCAGAATCTTTGACAATATCTAAGACTGTTTCAGGCTCATTCATTCTGAATGGAGAGATATCAAATCCTTCATCTTTTCTATTTCCAGGAGCCGAATTCTTAAATGTTTCTAGCACATGGGGGGGAAAGAGAATCAATGAAAGGGGGTTTCCACGAATGGTTTAAAGAAATGTTTACTGTTAAAAGCATTACTATAACACCTAATAGACTTCCATACTTCCGACATATCATCGTCCCTTTTGGGACTAGAGACAAATCTAATAAATGAATCCGTTTTTTATTTTTTTTTATTTAGTTTTTATCTCTGCAATAGCTTTTTTAGCATTAACAAACGATGACATAAGTTCATATCTATAAAATTGCTTAATTGCAGAAGATCTATGATTGATCAGTCTGGAGCACTTTCTATCACACTATGGACATAAGTTTTTATTACGGCGAAATTTTTTAAAAGGGATATGTTTGTTATTAAAATCCTTTAAAATGTCACAGAATCTTGAATAAAAATTATTATCAATACTTAAATCTAACCTGGCAATATCTTGTAAAAAGTTTTCCCAGTTGGCTCTTTTAAAATTCTTCTTTTTAGTGTAAAGAAACCGATAGACTAGTATTATTAAACTTAACAATTAAAGGAAAATGATCACTACCTTAAGCATCCTCAAGACTCTGCCCCTTAACTAAACATGCAATATTAGACAAACAAAGGGCAAGATCAATAACACAATTGCCATATCTGTTTAAGAATTGCAAAGAAAAATGTCATTGAGGTCTATAAACGATTTCAACTTTTTACCATTTTGGTTGGAAATATAACTGTCCCAGGCCCTACTGTGGCAGTTAAAATCTCCGACCAATATGAAGATTTGCCCCAGACAAAAAAATATTCTTTTAAACATCTCATTTATCTGGGCACATCACAGACGTTCTTCAACTCGAGGCAAGAAGTTGTTCCAACGGTCGACTAACGCTAACGTTCCACAGCAGAGAAAGCGAAACAATCTCAAGCCCAAAATATTGAATCTTAACTTAATCCACCAGTTAACTTATAGGATACGAAAGAAACAAAACCAATAAAATAAAAATAATAATCAGGCCAATTCACTAACAAGAGTCGTTAACGTTAGCAACTAGAATCAGTGGTTATAGACCCATCCGGCCAATCAGGCGGATTAAATATAACGATAAACACTAATTCTGGTTGTTAACGTTAACGACTCATGTTAGTGATTTGGCCTAAATAAGTGCGAAAATAGTGAAAAGTGTGTGTGGCCCGGTTTAAGTACCAAAGTGCTCTAACGTCGTAAAAGTGTGTGAGTGGGGTGATAGTTAACAACGATAAGCTTACCTGGCTTACCTGGATTACCATCACAATAAACGCGTGCCAATATAGCGCTAACGCGAGCGGTCGAGGCCAAGGAACAACGGACGTTAAGGACAAACAACCGAATTCAAGTCTAATTAATCCAGCTAAGTAATTTACCTAATTGCACGACCTACTAATGATAATACCAATATTCTAAACTTTAAACAATAAACTCTTAACGTTAAAATCTAATCCAAACGCATACTTCGCAACAGTAAATTCAAGAAATCCATCTGGTAATCAGGTAAACAAACAATTCCCAACAAGGAAAAAAGCGTCTAGTAAGACAACTCATAAATCAACATCTAAATAACATAGATAAAAAGGACAGACAAAAAGCACTAAGACTAGTCCCCAAATAAACACTCGACAAAACCTATAAACGACAAAAAGCTCTAAGTCTAGTCCCCAAATAAACACTCGACAAAACCTATAAACGCCATAAATCATAATAAACCAAACATGGAAATTGTCAACACTATCGATCACTCAGTAGGCATAATTAAAATGCCACCCGACGGAAAATGCTTGTTCGCCAGTTTAGTCTACCAACTAGACAATAGCCCGAAGACAAAGACTGAACAATCATATCAGAACACACATAGAGACAAACCATACGTTCAGGATTCGATCCTTGGCCAACCTCACCTTTACGCAAACATTACAGACTTAGAACGTAAAACAGAGGGGCACTTAAAGGACCACTCACAAAACGGATTCTGGGTGGGATTGGAAACAATAATAGCAGCATCGGACGTATTTAACGTCGTAATCGAAATACATTAGGAACAGGGGGGCACCGACAAGATATCCTTCATACAGAATGACAACCACCGGTCAATCGCAATTCGCTATAGACTAGGCAGGTCAGGATCCCATAATCACTATGACAGTATAGTACAAATCTTGCTCTGCTTAACAGAGGCAGGGAACATAACCAACATAAGAGCCTGCGGTAACGGTAAATACACGCAAACACAATCTATGGGAGGACAAGTTTAGACAACAACACAACATAAAAAAAGGCATACTAATCGTAAGGGGCTGTAGGCAGGCAGACAAGAGGGAAATAATTGACGACATATTAACCTAACTACAGGAAGTAAATCAACAAGGATAGGTATTAGCATCGTACTAACCACCTACCCCTATTCATGAACCCCCATTGAATGGGGTTATTACTAAAGCCCTGGTTGAGGAGGATTCCGGATTGTACTTAGTTTGGGGTCAGTTCAATGTCCTCCAAAAACCAACCTATTCTCCCTCCTTGTCTCGCACTCCACTAGCCTAAACTGGGCGTATGGTCGGCCCGGCGACAAAATTCCGGGAATGGCCTTAACCAGCCTCATCCACGACCTCCTAGGAGAGATCTACCAGCCGACGTAAAAATTCGAATGTTGTTGAGTTTTCTAACAAGGAAGCGTTAAAATTTTGCCTATGATTAATTTTAAAAACGTTAAAATGCACAAAACAAATCCGGTTAGCTGGCGGTAAACTGTTGCTGCGTTAAACTGTTGAGGCGGTAAATACCTGGCGGCAAATTGCTAACGGTGAATTTCTGTCGATAAATTGTTTCTACGATAAATAGCTGGCGGTAAACTGTTGGGCCGATAAATTGGTGCGGCTCTAAGTTGCTGGCGGTAAATTGCTGGCGGTAAATTGCTGTCGTCAAATTGTTGACGATAAATTATTCTAGACCCATTGCATTTATAATGATTATTTCCCTCATTATAATATGAACCAATCAAAAGCCTTGAATTTTCGAATAAATTTCGTTTAAATAAGCGATTAAATCACTAGAACTATTTAACAGCGATTAAATTTTAGCCTCCATATTGGATTTTTGTTTACGATTTTATGGTGTTATTTACAAGTTTTAACAAACATTTTTTAAAAAACAATAAAAAATAAGTTATCTTGTTTACAATATATCAATTATTACTTATTACATACCTTAAATTAATGGAATTTTCTTTAAAAAAATATTTATAAATTTTGACACATACGTCAGATTTTATGAATTGTCAAATAGTTTCCTTTAATTCGAGAAATAATCTAGACGTATATCACTCAACCTATAAATTTAATCTGTCAAACTATGCTTAGTAAGTTTTTTATTTGATTTTTCTTTTTGGAAAATAGTTTCATGCAAAATAATTAAAAATAAAACCCCTCGACCGCTACGCGGTCTCGTGATTTTATTAAATTATTTTGCATTCAACATTTTCCAACAAAAACCAAACAAAAAACTACTGAGCCTAGTTTAACCGATTAAATTTATAGTTCTAGTGATATATGATTATTTTCCTTAACTTTTTCTTATTTTTTTCCCACACAACGGGGTTTTTCTTTGGATTGGCTTATAGTGTGACCGTATCTCAGGCAACACCGGATAACAGGATCCACATATTTCTCTACCATGTAGAATAAAAATAACTCAAGCATATATGAAACAACCTTAAAATTGTGAGTAAAAGCTACCGTAATTAAATTAAATACTATTACAATAGTTACTATTGCAAACATGTTTATTATGCTTGTAATAATTAGGCTTAAGCTTATAAGCATCACAATTACGGTAGTTTTACTCACAATTTTTTATTGCAACGGACGCTACAAAAATTCCCGAGTAACCTGGAATGGCTGGGGTATTAACCAATTTATTAGACCCATCTGGACCCTTAACCTTTTTTTAATTCTTCTTACACTCAAAACCCATAACCTTAAATAAAATAAAAATTTTTGCAATTTCCTCCTCACTTAAATCCTTATCTATATTTCTAATAAAACCCTTACTGGTAATTAAGTGCCTAGGAATAAATGCACTAAAACCCTGGGCCTGCAAAAAAACTTGGTTTTCCAAAAATTGATTTGCTTTATTTAACTTTTTAAAATATAGAGCAACCCCGTTTCGTCCTCTTTTTGCAATTTGAACTATATCTGATTCAAATTCTTTAGAAAGCAACTTTCCCATCTTAAAGTAATTAATATTACTCAAAATACTTTCAACATTAACTATGTACGGTCCTGCGTCATATAAATCGTAACGCAAGTTGTTTAGTTTTTGTAAAGTTTGTTTACGTCTTTTTTCGGCTACGTGTTAAAAAATCGCTTGTTTTGTAATGGTACGATATACGGGGCACTTAATTTTTAACATTTCTTAATTTATTATTTTAAGGCTTTACGAAATATGAGACTACTTCTAAATATTTAACTTAAAATTGTATCAAGTGGTTATTAGTAACTTAATATTTGGACCCATTCTGTTTACATTATATAATTTATTAGGGCAATATTTAAACTAAGCATTCCAACACGTAATAAAAATAGGGTATAGTACGTCTGACAGAATGATATTTATAAATCACTGTCAAGATGCTAAGCGTAGACCTACGTGTTGGTGTCTTTAAGCATCCCATACTGCACTAGGGAGACTCACCAAAACCGCACGTATGTCTGAGCCATATCGGTAGACAGAGAAGGTTTTCACGTTCCAAATGAACCATATCGATAGGCCGGTGGCTTTGACAAAATAAACATAAAAAACAGCATGTTAAAAACTGAAGGGAGGGTATTTTTTAAAAACAGTTGAGTTTTGTTATTTGAAGTAGACAGTTTGGTTTTGTTATTTGAGCAGGAGTGAATTTAATAATACATTGATTTTATATAACTTCAGTTTTGGTGAAAGTGTTGTTCATTTAAATAGGTATGCCTTTTCTATATTTAGTTATTATAATCTGAGGTCACAAATATCATAATGAGTGGTTAATTATTTAATATTTAATTTAAACTATATTTTATTATTATTAATTCAACTTGTTTGTTTGTGAGAGAAATAATAAGTTGATTTATCTTATCTCAAAGGTTTTTGTTGGACAAACCAAATTACAAATGTATTATAATCATTATTTTATGTTTATAATTATTATATTTATATTACATTTACTTTAACATATTATATAGTAATGTAATTTTACATTTTACTACATATTTATATTTAACATTTACATACTTGATTTTGTACAGTTTATCTTATTTTATTTATTTGATAAATTGATATTCATTATTTAATATGTTGAGGCTTTGTTGCAATTTTGGCACACCAAACACTTGTTAGAATTTTCTTTTATTGTATAACGGTGTTGGTATCGGGCGAAGGGGTCGAGCCCGGAGACTGATAAGTATCAATTCACCCATCTTTACAATAAATGCTAGGTAGGGCCCATGATGTGAGTTTTTGTGACATTGTCTTGTTTTATTATTATTGATAATCATTTTATTTTACTATATTTGATTTGCACTGACATAATTCTATTACTTTATCATACCTGATTTTATTTATCATTTATGACTGTACATCAATTTTATTGCATAACTCTTGTCCACCACTACACCACTTGTTATTCATATATTTTATTTATACAAATACCATTTATTATTGTTGCTTGTGACCTAAGTTATAGTATACTTTATGTTTCACATTATTGTTGTTTGCTGCTGTACATTGATAATTATTTCAATGTGTATTTGCTTTTCTACATCGTCCGAGCCTACCATTTATGTAGGTGAATAATCTTAGCAATATGATAATATAATTGTTTATATTCATATTGATTACTTTGATGTTGTTGTATTATTTATATTGTTGAGATGTGCGACATATATGCATGTCTGTATTGTATATGTGGGTTTTTAAGGTTTTACCTTATTAACTTAAATCTATCATACTTTTCAAATACAAACGTTTTTATTTATATTATTAATGTACAGTAACAATAATTAACTCTTGTATTAATTGTCTTTATTAATAAACTTATTTTAATTTAATACTTTTTCTTTACTTTTTAAATATCTTTTCAATTGCTCAAGTACTTACGTATCCAGAACCGTATTCACAACAAAAAGGGGTCCTAACTTAATTTCTTTAAACTAGACGATCACGTGTTTTGGCCAAAGGTAGTTTTTTTTGTGGTTTTAATATTCTTTTTAATTATTAATGTGTGCCCCCCATGCCCCGTTCGTTACAGTTTTTACAATATTAGTTTCCATAACGTCATTCAACTTGATATTATACAAAATATTTATTTTGTTTATGAGGAATTTCAATTATTTCCCCTCTTTGAAAGATTAAGAAACCTTTTTCTACCGCCCAATCAAATTCATTTATTGTTTATTGTGAAATTTTAAATAGAGAAAAAAAACTGATGTCCATATTAATAAACATAAATAAAACTAATAAAATTCGTGCCGCCTCCTTGGCTAAAGAAGAACCCTTTATCGCGTTATTAATTTCGTTAATATATTCTATCTCTAAACCACCCCCCGGATCATCCGGGGTATCGGGATTAAACATGACAGTATAATGTAGGTTATCTATCCGAATTATTACTACAAAGCCAATGATATAAAGGCAAATATGAATGGAATTAAATAGGAAATTGGATTTAACTTATACAAGACAGCTATCAAAATAACGACCTGTTTCTTCGAAGGCACGGTTGCGAAATCTTAATCCATATTTTATATTTTATATAAATGTTTAATGTAATGAATGTATTTCAAATGACAACATTTTTATTTTCATACAATTGTAAAAACAAAACAACCTGTATATTTATTTGATTTATTAAAACTACGATATTCAGTTCATACAGTAAACATTCGAAAAAAAAAATTATACCACACCTCAGCATACCACAAGCAAATTTAGAGGTTGTTTTGAATTTTGTGCCCCAACATTGTTAAACTTTATTTTTGAATATTTGCGCATTTATCAGAAAATCAATTTAGACAGAATTGTAAATATAAGTTTAATTTACGTACCTTTGCAAATATCCGGACAAGGTTCGCATGTTTGGTTGTTCAAGTGGGTGTAATGTAAATCATGTGCCCCGATCATTTTCCAATTAATTGTGTCAACGTAACAAATGTTCGGACAATGGTCAACCTTAACATCGCCTCTGGCTATGTACAGCAGCTTAGTAAGTCCTATCTGAAAAAAAGAGACATGACTTTAATTAACTTGTTATCTTGTAAACATGCACTTTATGTGTAATTGACCGCTCATAGAAAATTGTGTATGTGTAGCCTCGATAAAATTTTGAATACGAATAATATAAATAATTAAGAAATGTTATTTTGGTTGTAATTTTAGTGCCGTGTCAATAAACGTGGTTATTATTTCTGATATCAAAAATCAAGTTCGTTATTTCGTTCGTTTGTGTTTTTGTTAAGAGCATACAGGGCTATGTTTAAATTACAACAAAAAATATTTCTAAAAAGTGTACAGATCAGTGTGTGGTATAAATGTGTTCCTCATGGTTTAAACATTGTAACTTTAATACGTTTTAATATTAATTCTGAAAACAAACAGTAAAATGGCCAGTGCCCAATTACTGGTTGGTAAAAAATGTAAATTTCTATTATTGGACATATGTCCTATATCATATTCTATTTGTATCCCAGACATTTACCACCCAATTCTTATGTAAAATTGTCCCCTGAATCCAGCAGTTTTTGAGATATGGTAAATTCCATATTATATGTAAAATTGATTATAATTCAAAAACTGTTTTACTTTTATAACTTTTGACGACATTTTCGGATTCAGCAAATAATATTTCATATGAATTGACTGCTAAATGTCCTGGATACAAATTGCTGTTGACGAGAATTATTAGTGGCTGCTTATCGCTCTGACATTTTTGACTAATTAATTTTTAGAGAGTAACAGTTATTTAAATACAGTGCATGATAGAGAACATAAAAAACTAATGGCAACAAAATTAATAAACTTGGAAAATACTCTTAACATACCACCCGAAAAAATATTAGATATATATATAAATCATCCTGTTCCGGCCTAAACATTATAAATGCTTCACAAACAAGAGATACCACACTTAATGATATTTGCAACAAACTATTTCAGAAGTCAGACAAAGGAATTAGTAGTTACCTTCAGAATCCAGAAAAGGGATGAGGAATTCGAGAAAGAAATATATAACAATTTATATTATTTGATGTAAAGTTGTTATGTTTATATAAAAATTGTATGTCCAATAACTATAGTTATATATGGTCCATGTGTCCAATTACTATATAAAATGTCTATACTAAACTTTTTTGCATGTTTTCATAAAACTATTATTAAAAATTCAAATATTCTTATTTATAACGTAAATAAAGTTTAAACAAAGAAACTATCCTTTTTATATATTCATAAGAAAAAAACTAAAATCTTTAAAACAACGGCATATATAAATTTTAAATAAATAATATTTCTTAAGTGTCCAATTACTATGTGGTTTACCCTAAAAGTTCTTTGTTAAAGTAAAAAGGTTTACATTTTTAATTTTATGTTTTTATAGGTTTCATATATCAATAGCATTTATTGTAATTTATGTAATTTTCCCCGTTTTTATTTTGTTAAATGTATAATTAGAGCAGAGTGACCAAATATAAAATGGAGTTAGAATTCCTGAAGTGGGCCCACGATTTTTAATGTAATCATGAAAATTTAAAAAAGCCATACGCATATTAAGTAGGTACCAATGCAACAATAATTCACCCAAAAGTTTTGAACATATATAATTTATTTGGCGATATTTATTTACAAAATTAAATACATGATCACAATGTCCAGAAAAATACTTTGAAAGATTATTGGGTATGATAAGTCTTAGCCAGTCTTTAGATGGACAGAAATAATGATAAAATGTTATCATGTCAGTTGAACCTAACCTTAAAATGATCAGTCGTTATCAATAAGCAAAAATTCTTGTCAATAAGAAATTTCTCTTAGAGACGCCTTGCGCATGACTACTCTTGTGATTGTTATCCTTGGCCGTTAATTTGTATGCGATTTTTAATTTTAAAAAATTAGTGGTTTACCCCTCGCCACCCGATCGTTACCCTTACAGGGCATAAAGCATGCAGTTCCAAACTTGTTTATTGCACTCGAGCTGCACAAGAGGCATCACTAAGTAATAGATAATATACGAGGTGTGTTCAGAAAATATCGGAAATTTTCGTTTTTTGAAAAAAATATTTATTTATTCGTCTACATTAATGTTGTTGCCTTCAAAATAGTCCCCATTGGATATTATGCACATGTACCAGCTCTTCTTCCAATACTCGAAAGTTTCGAGTCGAGTCGAAACACTTCTAAAACTCGATCTTTGGGATAGCCTTTAGTTCTTTCAGCGATGCGCTTTTAATGTCATCTATGCTTGCAAAACGACGGCCCTTTAAGGTTCTCTTTATTTTTGGGACTAGGAAAAAGTCAGACAGAGGCATGTCTGGCGAATATGGAGGCTAGGAATCATTACAGTATTGTTTTTGGACAAAAATTTTGTTCAAAATTTAACAATTTTGGAACAAATTTTGCTGCTACGCGTTTCATACCCAAAACATTTGAAAAAATTTCATGAGATGAGCCAATCGATATACCAACATTATCAGCGACTTCTCTGATGGTTTATAACCATTTCTTCCACTTTTTCCATGTTTTTATCGGTTGTTAATGTGCTTGGGCGTTCGGGGCGTTCGTCATCATCAACGTCTTCACGGCCATCTTGGAAACTCTTATACCACTAGTAAACTCTTGTTTTACTTATAGCAGACTCACTATAGGCCTTTGTTAATATTTCACAGAATTTATTTCATTTTTTAAGCAAAATTGGATACAAATTTCTTTGAACAATTTCTTTTAACGAACGAAAATCGCCGAGCTCATAAAACACGTCTAACCTTAGCGGCTGCCACAGACAAAGTAAACGATGAAAACAGCTAAAGTTTTTATCATACTTCGTGGGCATGTATACCAACATAATAAAGAAAATGTTATGACAACCGGACCCTCCGAACCCGCGAAATTTAACAATTCCCGTTATTTTCTGAACACACCTCGTATTATTACATATTGAAATTGTCCATGGTTAGACAGTACATAAGTTATGGCAGCCATTATAAAAACAAAAGATGCACCATGGTAATGGTAAGTTAAAATTTAGTAGCGAAGAAAGTAGATACAAATGTAGATTAATGTGTATGTGGTTGTAAAACTTTTATTTCAACATTTTCAGAAATAACGAAGTTTTAATGATTTTTTATTTTAATAAGTTTTTATTTTCTTTTTAAATATTTTGAGAACCGCTTGCTTTTTATTTAACGATCGATTGTAGCTCATCAAATAAAAAAATACCCCATTATACTTGTGTAAAACACATAGAAGGATACTTCGTACACACTGTATATTAGGGTGTTTCAAAAAAAACTTAAATTATTTTTTTTTCTAATGGTGTTGAAAAATTAATAATACATTATAAAACAAAAATTTTGGCGCATATTTGAGCCCTTAATATTAATATTAAGGTTTGCCTCAATTCATTTGTTGTTTTTCCATTTCAATAACACGGGAATTTTTATTTTTTAAATTTATTATGTTATTTATATTTATTATATGCGCCAAAGTTTTTGTTTTTTAATGTACTATTAATTTTTCAACACCATTAGAAAAAAAATTAATTTTAATTTTCTTTTTGAAACACACTACTGTATATAGCAAAAACAATTAATTTAAAAATATACGTGAAATTATTTTTGTTAATATTATTATAATTACATATATTATTGTAATATATATTATATTATACAATTAAAAACTAGCCACCCTTAATAACTGAGTTATAGTAAATAATAGTACAAATCCAGTGTTAAACAAATTTTATGTTGCACCCTCTGACCTCCGCTACCCTTACTAAAATATTTTAAATGAAACCCCATACCTTGCGACACATCATTTTGCAATCAATGCAATTTCTGATCCATTGAAGTTAAAAAAATTAAAATCCGATCACGAATTCGCGAGTTACATCCGAAAAAGGTGTGATATAAATAAAACAAAAATTTCCATAAAGCAGAGTTGTTACACGTTTCAGTTAAAATATTTGTATTGATATATCAAACGTAAAATAAAAATTTAATTCTTGCAGTTCTAGTCCAGATTTTTTTACCCTGTGTATTTTATTTTAAAAACAAAAATATTGTTTCAAAGCATATTTTTAATTATTTGTCAAATAAATATTACAAATAATAAAAACAATTTAAACAAAAAATATAAAAACAAAGATTTATACACCGCCTCTAATTGCTTTCAAACTTTATTTCAATATTGCATAAAAAAGATGTAAACATGTATAAAATATTTAATATAAATACAATTAATTGTAAATAAAAATGTAACAAAATAAGTATTATTCCTAAATTATAACAATTAAAAAATAAAATTAAATAAATAAATTAAATTTATCACATTTCAGCATATTGAAATTTCTTTAAGAATACAAAGGCAGTCTGCCAGACTGGTGCCGTATTCTAACCTAACACCCTTACTAATGTAAAAATAAATAAATATGGTTTAACATAATTGTTTACAGCCCAAAACTAAAATTAAAATAAAACATTTAGTATTCAAGGTACTCTTGTTTCTTACTTTTAAATAGGTTACGGTAGAGTTGGGGATGGTCGATTGACCAGTCAATTGACTGTCAATTGACCGCTACCTATTTGACCGGTCAATTGACCGATCAAAATATATTTAATGTTTGCAGCATTTTATTTAGGTATCAACAATTACCCGTTAATCTCAAAATTTTTGCGATCGTGCAATATCGACATCATTTACAATTAGGTGGTTCCCTGAGTCAAGGGGTTGCTAGGCCGGACTCAACGCTTTGCCCTTAAAGCGGGACATTTCTTTTTTAATAGCGAAACATAACTTTTTAAAGCCGCACAAACGTTTCATAACTTTTATAATAAAAAAAAATTGGTAACGTATTTTAATTACCTATTTATTAAGTACAAATAAATCACAGTAATATTTATTTTGATATTTTATTTAATTTTATTTTGGTCAATTGACCGGTCAATTGACTGGTCAATTGACCAAAAACAATTTGACCGGTCAATTCCACAACCCTAGGTTATGGTTTAAAATATTTTAATTTCCAGAGGTAGTTTATAAAGTTTATAAACTCAATGATACCGTTATTTATTGCACTATAATTTCCACTGGTTGATAAATATTGACTTCGATGTATATCATTGTTTTGTCTTGTTAAATGTTGATGGAGTTGATTATTTATTTGCAGATCTATTTTGGATTTTTGTTTTTTATATTTTAACCAAAACCTACTGTTTCTATTAAATGAGCAGCAAGCAAGCAAGCAAGAGCAAGCACATAATTTAAAAGCAGAAAATAAGTTGAACATGGTCTAAAATTTAAAATTCTTTAATAATATATTATGTATCAAGTTTGATAAACGCCATTTTATACACGAATTTAATTTAGACACGAGCGAGCTTAAGTGCTTAAATTAATGAGTGTAACTATAGAAAAGTTTATAAACGAGGTGCATAATATACTGTTTCTACGACAAATACTTATTATCTTAAAATGATTTAAATAAAAAATTTGTATAGAGCGCCATCCATAAAACAATAGGGGAATCTGTGTGTCACCGTCAAATGTCAATTTTTTTTATTTTATAAACACAGATTATAAATGTTATAAATCCAAATGTATTTCTTGAAAATTGACAGTTTTTCACAGTGAAAGTAAAGAAAATGTTTTATAAGCACTTTACAGTGGAGTCCGTGTCCGAATTTAAGTTATAGTTTACTGCCGGCGAAATTAAAAGGTCAGTACAATGTTCATATAAACTTTTCAAATATTGGCGTTGAGAAACTATTTAATACTTTTGTATTTTTGTATTGAGATAATAAAATAATTTTCACATTTAGTATTATTTTACAAGAAATGCACTTTATTTTAACGATTGTATGACATTTGACAACTGTCAACTAACTTAAAACTAACTTCAGCCCGTGACTAAAAACCTGTTGCTAACTTCAGCCCGTGACTAAAGCGCCATAAAGCCACAACTTGTCAATGTGTATTTAATAGGTCACTTAGTGTCATGGAAACATGCACGATAAAGGGCGTTTTAAAGGTGGGAGTAGAAAAAAGTATTTAAAAAATAAGACAAATATTTTTTAAACATAATTTTGGTTTTATTTTTTAAATCTTTATTATTTATTAAATATTATTTCTTTTAATTATCTGTAATATAGGTATTTTATTAAAAATTAAACATTTATATTTTTTAACTTAAAAAAATAAATATTTTTACCCAAGTTCAATGTTAGGGGTGATTAGTTTACAATGAAACTAAAGTAAGTTATAAATCAATTGATTTCAAGTATTCTGCTTTTCAATCAGATAAAAAACAGCAAAGATGTTTGATATAATTAACATGGTAGTAATTTTATCTTTAAAAAATGTTATATTTTAATTATATCTTTGTTATAGGTATGTTTACCTTCTGAATTTATTTTTTTATATATATTTAGAAGCAAAAATACTATTTTTATTCATATTTTAAATCAGTCGTTAACGACTGATATAAATTATGTCAACCGATTTACATTTTAGATAATTTAATTGGGTAAAAAACAAATCTAGTAAACCATGACTTATATTAGCTAAATTATTTTCTATGCTTAAAAGCAAATGTCAAATATTAATATGAAATTTTAATTGTTTTATGTCTAATTTAAAATGTCAGTGTATAGAAATCGACCTTTTTATAGAAAATATAAACTTTGAAAGTTAAATACCCAATTTATTTTATAAAACAACAGTTATTAAAGAAAAAAACTGCGTTGCCATGTCGTGCCAAAACCTATATCCACTGATATGCTAAATCAGTTCATATAAATAAATCAAAGTTTCTGGATACGGCCCTTACTCTGTTACAGAGTGAATATTAAACTAGAAATTAAAGTAAAAAAGGCGTTCTTTAAATATTTTGGAATTAAAATTCCAAAATTTAGTATATTAAAATACGGTATATTTTCATAAAAGGTAGATAAAAAATATTTGGAAGTGAAAATTTCAAAAACGTTTACCTATTCTAAAAAATATGAGAAGAATTTCATAAAAAAACATATATTTTTAAACCACGATTTAAAATACTTTTTTGAACAAAGAATATTGCCACAAAAATGGTAAAATTTTGTGGTAGTGCGACTTAAAATGTATTTAGTAATATTTTGAGTAAAAACTAAAATACCTATATGTGTATCATAAACTTTTGTAAAACAAATAAAACTAGATTTAAAGTTATAGGATTTTAACAAGTACAATTCAATTTAACTTGGTTAAACTTATCTTTAAACTGAATAATTTGATATAAACTTAAGAGGCGCGCAAGCGCGAGTTTTATGTGATACTAGAATTTCCAATTTCAATAATTTTCAGTTTTTATCACTTTCTAAGTATAATAGAAGATTCTGGATTCGAAACGATATGGCGATACCTTCGGGCAATTTTTTTTTATTTTACTTTATCCCACTTTCTAGTGCCTATAAATGTACCCTTTAACCTTCTCCGAAAGTATCCGCTGTGCAAAATTTTATCTTTATTCGTTCATCCGTTGAACCTTAATTGAGTTATAAAAAGTCAAACAAATTTTTACACTAATAATTTAGAAAGAATGTTATTTTTCTTTTAAAAATAATACACATTGAGAACCAGTGACTTTAAAGTGCGTTTTAGTAACGGCATGCTTCGCGTTCGTGCGTGTTTAATAAATTATATTAATTGTCAGGTAATTTTTTGTTTTGATGTTAAAATAAAGTGCGCTTCTTGTACAAAATGTACATATTTTTGTGTTTGTCGTAAAAATTTAAGTATGCAATTCATTTAATATAGTTTTTTAGACACTCGTGACTAAAATGATTTTGCTGGGACTTTTTGAAGCAAATTATATTTTTAGTATTATAAAATAGTATATACAGGGTTTTTCAGAATAAGATGCTGAACCTTAAGGGTGTGAATCCTTAGTTGATTTAAAAAAAAAGTTAAAATAAACCTATGACTTAAACCTTTCAATTTTTGAGTTACAGGGTGTTAAAGTTTTAAGAAAAAAATCGTTTTTTTTATCATAACTTTAATAACTTCCTAGATATTTTTATAAAATTTGGCACATGCCTTCTAAGCATTAACAGTAAGTTTTTATTTTTTTACCAGTGGCATCCGTACAGGATGTGGTCTAGACATTATTTGAAAAATATTATGCACGCCACTGCTATTTTTCAAAATAAAAATTATTTTTTAAATCCCCATTCATTTTAGGGCAAATTTGATTTCTTGACCATTTTTCGTACGACTAACGGTTTTCGATGAAAAAAACAAAAAGCATTTAATGCGCATATTGAGAAAACAATGCCATGATTAAATAAACATTAAAATGAAATTTAATTATAAAATAATTTTAAATCTAAGTAAATCAAAATTTATCCCTTGAAAATAAACTAACAATCGATATAGAATCAGTGTTTCACAGTAAAAGAGAGAATGTTTTAAGGGCACTGTACGCAAAATTGTTAACACTTTATCAGTTAAATCTAGTTAACTGCACTACTACGGCAAAATTAAAAGGTCAGTACAAACGTTCATATAATCTTTTCAAATATTAGCGTCAAGAAACTATTTAATACTATTGTATTTTTTGTATTGAGATAATAAAATAATTTTCACATTTAGTATTATTTTACAAGAAAGGCACTTTATTATTACAATTGTATGACATTTGAAAATTGCCAACTAACTTAAAACTAACTTCAGCCCATGACTAAAGCGCCATAAAGTTACAGCTTGTCAATGTTTATTTAAAAGGTCACTTAGTGTCATGAAAACATGTACGATAATGGGCGTTTTAAAGGTGGGAGTAGAAAAAAACATTTTTTATGCTGTCTGTGTCAAATCCCTATTCATTTTAGGAAAAAATTAAACTGTATCTTTTGGCGGAATTCTATCCTAGTAACCTAAAGGTACGTCACAGATTTTTTGTGGATTTTGGCAAAGGTTGCTACAAAGTCTTAACCCCTCTCCCCATCCCAAATATTTTTATGTTTTTTTGTGACGTAGCGCTGTATCCAGAACCCCGTCCTCCCCATGTCATGTTACACTTTGACAGAAAGGAGACTCTTAACGTGTGACTTCCTGTATGACAAATTTCCTTAGTAATTACGTTATATTTTAACATAAATATTTACAACGTTTGCAATTAATTTATTTAATTTTATCTAAACCAAAAAAAAAATTAATAAACAATATTGTTTCAAAAATTTAAATTAATGAAATGGAAATAAGTGACCTGGATAAATAATATTTATTCGCTCAAAATAGCATTATATCAAACAATACAAAAAACTCAGAGCAAATTGTATCGACATGCTTTTAGTGTTTAAAACTATGCATTAGTAAAATATAAACTTGTTACATAATAGGTATTATAATATTCATTCGAAACAACAATGACACAACTCAAAAATCACAGTTTAAAAAAAAACGCATTTTAAATTTGTTATTACTGTTTTCCATTAACCAAGCCGGGCTCAAAAAATAAAAGCTGGGCTCAAATATTTTGTTGTTTAGGCATACTCTCTAAAAAAACAGTAATAAGAAATTTAAAATGCGTTTTCTCAAAAACTGTGATTTATGAGTTGTGTCATTGTTGTTTCGAATGAGCGATATACACACTGTGTATTACACAGTGTCATGGATCACAAATTTATCTGAACAAAATTTCTTCCTCCAAAAAAATAAAGAGTGAATATTATTTTTAAATGAAAATAAATCTTATATAAATATATATTAGTTATTACAAAAAAACATTTTAAAAATAAACAAAATATGTTTTATATTGTTTAAACTTAATTTTGACAGTTCATTGATACAATGATAACAGCTAGGGAAAGGATTTTTTGAAATTCCATCTTTAACGGGGTGTAATGTTCTTAGTAATTTGTTTAAATGAAACTACAACTAGCTTTAACAAATTTTATATTTAATTTTGTTCAATGAAAAATTAGGACTGTCAATGTAGATAATCAAACAACTTATTTTTCTTCATGGCAATATTCAGTTTTAATCCCGGCGAATTTGTTTTTCAATTTTAGTACTGTCAATGTAGGGAAACAAACTACTAATTTTTCTCTATGGCAGTGTTTAGTTTTACTCCCGGCGAATTCGCCATTTTTGAAAGTATTTAACGAAAACATGGAAAGGAACGAGAAGAAAACGGGACAGCAACAAGGTTTTTACTTTTGTTTTATTTAATTTTTTACATAAAGAAACAGATCTGAGAGATCTACTAGTTAGGGAGGTGGTGGCAGAAATTTTTAAGTCTTTTGCTCGCTTGGCAGAAGTTGAATATAATAAAGTTTGGATTATAAAAGTCACTAATGACAACTTCTGCTATACCATTATCGCTGCGTTTTTAACTTTTTTAACCCTTAAGCAGGCACGCGGAGTGTACAAAACACCCCAGCTTCCTAAATATAGCTACCGGTCTCACTTCGTTTCGAATAAATGGCGCTTACTTTCAGTACCTTCCTGTAAAAGTATTGTCAGTCATATTACATTGCCGATTTCGAAGTTAATGTAATAGATTGTCTGGTATTTTGTTTCAAACAGGCTCTGGGTGCTGTGGACACCCCGTGCGCCTTTCCACGTACAATTATTTTGCATTAATTTGTTAAGCTGATTTGTTCAACTTTTGTTATTATTTGACATTAAATAAGCTTATACCTTGTAAAAAAGCAATTGGAACACACGACAAAATATTTATTATTATCTTGAAAGCATTGCGTTATGTTTTGCTTGTTTCCGTTCGTTCTAATATTTTATGTAAACAACAAATAAAAATTTGCCAAAATTTCTCCGCCCAATAATTCAAATTATCAGGTGTTCCTGCGAGACCTCAGTTCTCGGTAAAGAAGGGCAGATGTGTAATTTGTCCAAGGCATGCCTTTTTGCAAAAAGTAGAAGGTGTGCCAAAAACATGTGCATGAAGCACAGGAAAAATGTAAAGAAAGCTTTGATTCTAGTATCGAAAGTGAGTGACTTTGAGTTGGCTTGGTTTCGCCCTCCTATTGACTTTTTTTTACTAAATCATAATTACATGTAAAAGTAAACCTTATCTGATGTGCTTAGTGTTTTTTTTTTGTTTTTTAATATTATTATTACTTTTAAATTTTTTTTTTTTAAATAAATGCTTTATTTTATTAAAATTGTCGTCTTTTGACATTTTCTTTTTTTTGTCGTCTTTTATCAAATTTGAACGCAACGAAATATGTTCTCATTGTCTCTAAGCTCATCTTAACTTGATAACCTTGAAAAAAAAAAACAAAAAAAATGTAAATAACACTCAGGGACGCTTTGCCATCAGGGGTGTCTCTGACACCCCGCGCGACCTACTACGTTGCATAAAGAGGTGCGCCTGCATAAGGGTTAAGACTTTCAGATAAATATCATCGCCAGACGTATATGTCTCTGCATTAATAAGTATTTAATTTTTTTTTAATTATGATATATAAAAAAATAAAAATCACTTCGTCAATAAAATTTGGACAAAATGTTAATTGGATCATAAAAAAGCAAAAAATAAAGGTCTGTCAAAATTGTAAAAAAAAATGAATATTAAGTTATTTGCTCGTGTCTGGCTCTTGGTTAAATTATTCTGTTGTATGTCAGAACTGTGAATATAACTATGCCAGACATGAGTATCGCTGATTTTTATAGCCTTTATAGAAAAGGGTTTTTTACTTATAACGTTAAAATTCATGAAATCATGTTTGGTGACCCTCAGTTACACTTCCGTATGGGGTCAGAGGTCAAACATAGTTTTTAAATTGTTTATGTACTTTTTTTTACCTTCTATAAGCAATTAAATACAGGCATTTTTTTAATTATAACCTTGAAATTTTGAAATAAGGTCATTGAGCCATATGATCTTTTAACCCCCTAAGTATTAATAATTTTTTCTAATTTATAATTTGGTCAACGGAAAAGGGTGCAATACCAGATTTTTCATTCCTATATCTTCTCCAATGTCTTAAAATTTGAAAACTTTCACAATTTATTAGACCTTTTTTGTTAATAACTGGCTTTATTGTCAGTGGTGTAATTTCAATTTCTTGTAAAAAATATTTTTAGTTAAAAAATGCATAAACAATTAACATAATATAAAAACAACATGTTTGTACGGAGGGTATGCTTTTTTTACCTAAAAATATTAATGTTAGGGACCAAATACAAAAAAACTTATTAAAAATGTTAAAAGTTTAACATTTAATTAGAACTAAAAAAATAAATATCGAGTAGCGGTTGAGATTTTAAATGAATAATATTTAATTTTTAAGAAAACGCAAACTTTAAGAATGGAAAAATATTTTGATTTAATATGACAGCATGGACATATAAAATTAATTAAAATTATATAGAAAACTTTTAAGCTTATTGTCTTAATTAATCAATCAATAGTGACAGCTGTTGGGAAAAGTTTCAAATGAACTTTGGATCACCGTTATAAAATGTATAATACAAAAAATAATTATAAATAAAAACCGCCGACTTTTAGGCACTTACAAATTGAAAAAAGGTTCCTACAAACACAGTAGGCAAAGTAGGCAGGTAAAATGCAAAATAGGCACGAAAAAGGCATGAAAGGCACAAAAGGAATATATAAATATAAAAAATATGCGAGTTTATTCCTATATATATATAATATAAATAATTTGAATTAAAAAACAACCAATTTAACAAAATGCTTATACAAAAATACATAAAAAATGTTGTTTAACATGAATAATTTAAATTAGGGAAAAACTAATTTACATAACAAAATATCAATGTATCTTTGGTTTTGTGTTTTAATTTGCTATTAAAATAGTAAACAATCATTTTCTCAAAATTTTCTTCAGTTAAGAATTTCGTTTATCAGTTTAAATATTTTTGAAACCAAAAATCAAATTTTGATTTTTTTATACAAATATTTTACATATTTTAATTTTATTCCTTGGCTCCCGGAATGCAATTGAAGCATATAAACAATTTATTTAATATACCCATTGATTCTAGTAAAGCGACCCAACTAGCACCAAAGTAACCTTAACGGGGACCGAAACTTTATTCGAGACGTCGCTACGTAGTTTCTCCCAATTTACTTACTTTATAGTTAAAAATACTATGTTCTATATTTTTTTGGTCATAAGGACTTAATTTTTACTCTCACCCACTACTTTATAGTTTCGTGAACTAGAGGTAGTTTAAAAGGTAAGCCCAACGTCGTCATTACTAGCTAGAATACCGCAAAGTTTCTGGAACTTTGAAGTTTTAATCGGTAGTAATTTATGCTACCAGCGTATTACTACAAAGTCGGCATTACATTAAAGTAATGTTCATTGTTTTGGCATCGTCTCAGATACCCAAAATATTACTTTAAAGTAATTGCATCTTGTTAATAGCATTATTTGATGATGGCGACGTTGTTGCGACTCCTCATTTGAAACGTCAATGTCTCATTTACTGCAAAGTTCGAATAACTGATAGAATTCACTTAAGAGTTATTATGACTATAAAGTTACATATGGTCAAAGGGATTCACAATAAGCGAACTAGAAGAGCTCTTCATTGCCAGCCTGAATGTGTTTATCAATAAAAATTTATAAATCAAAATTTTAACTTTTATTTTATTTATTACCAAGAATTAGGCAAGTACATAATATGTATATGCATATTTTTTATTAAATATACTAACTCTTCTTCTGCATCGGTGTCCAGGCATTTTGATAATTGTTTTTCTATTATGAGCGCCTCTTTAAAACTTTCTACTCCAGTACATTTGACAACGCAAGGATATTCAGCCCAATATTCTTCGGGTACTGAAGCCGCATTTGATCGCAGTTCTTCCCTTGTTGAATAAGTCATATGTTCAGGCCATGAAAGTATAACCTTATTTTCCCACCGATACGGCACAACGGTAAAATACCTATATTCCCTGCTTCTCCTTTGTTGATACAATTTTAAAATAATTGCCCAAGTAAAATATAATTATTAAACTATTTGGACAACAATATTGTGTAGCACACTTACCTTTTGCATTGTTAATATTTTATTTATTAGTCACAAAAACACTGTTTTTTTACACGCTCTAACGTAGCAACGGGGTGGAAAAGTTAGGTTAGGTTAAGCTATTTTGCGAAGTGACGGGCAAAACTTCTAAGTAGCAGCGGTAACTATGATGTGGCGAAAGAGGTCACGGCGACTTTGCTGTTACTCTATCGTAATGCAATGGGTCTAATGGGAACTTTGTAAACAAAATTACTTTTTAGTGCCACTTTATTCGTAGCCGCCTAAGACTTTGAAGTATAAATGTATTAAAAGTAATATTTCATAGTTAAACCTACTTTAAAGTTGTTTATCGTAAAATCGGCCATTTGCATTCGTATTTTAACAACGCCATTTTTGTTGGATATTAATTAATAATGGCAAAACAAATAATAAATAAAAATATAATAAAATGAAAAAAATCACTTATAAAAACATAATTTATTTTTAAGCTAACAGAGTTAATAAAAAAATTCACCGTCGAATGACCCGTGCTGGATTTAAAAGTATAATTGTTATATTTGACAGTAAACTTGCATTCGTTTGTGTTTTACCCCTTGGACCATCGCGAATTTAGCAAGTTTGAATTTGTAATAATACTTGATAAAGTTATATGTGCCAACATTTTGATTTCAATGAAGGACAGCATGAACTTTGTAGAAAGAAACGTAATGCTAATTTTTTTTTTTCACAACGATAAACACTACTGGGTTTTTAGAGAATTTTTTTAGGTGGGAGTGGTTTTATCATAATATTTTTTAGGGCAATTTAAATTATAGGACAGTGAACATAAAAAAATATAAAAAAAATAATTAATTAAAAGTGACATTTGTTAATGCTATTATTTTTATATGAAAATTTAAAACGAAAACTTTTAGTCAGTGTTATACCATTTAAAAAAATCTTGATACTGCGTAGGCATGCCTGTCTGAAAAATATTGGTTTTAATCAAAAAATATTTGAAATCATGGTCACTATGTTTTAAAGTTCACAATGAAAACAAAATCATTCAAGAAACCCATATAAATTTAATAACCCATTTTGTTAAATTTGCGAAACCCTTATAAGTAATTTTCGTGCTATTATTATTTTAAATAACGATATTTCAGCCTCGTTCTTATACAATTAACAAGCCTTGATTTTGTAATCAAGAATTAATTATCAGGAACAGTAGACAAAATAAAGTAATTGCCGTTTTTGTTAATCAAAGTGTTAATTTTTAAAACAATAGTTTATTAATCATCCAGTGGATTTTTTCCCTTTAACATGAAAATTCCTTTCCCCTAAAATTAATAATCAATAGCTGTGGTTTTAACTGAATTTTTATGCAAGGAAGAATTTTCATGTTAGATTTAAAAATAATTGTTTTTATACGATGTTGTTTTTCTATGTTTGCCTACAAAGAATTGGGTAATTTATATGTAGGTATGTTAATGAAGAATTATTAATCAACTTTACTTTTATGTAATTATGTATTTTATGTATGTGTTTTTCAAACCTGAAATGTTTAATGCTTTATTGTATACATTTATGTATTTAGAAAAAACGGTAAAATGATCTAAGACATACAATTAATACAGTTAAAGGTTTGATTAAAAACATATATTTTGAAAATTTCTTAATATTTGTTAGTTTTAATTTTTTTTAAAGCTTGAAAAATTTAAAAATTTTCAAAGATTTGGAAATTATGTCAAATTTGTTAATTTTAAAATTTTTGTAAATTTCCAAAATTTTGGATATTTTGAAAATGTATGCTACTTTGCGAATTTGTCTCGCCATTTTTTTAATTTTATGATACTGTGGAAATTTGTCTTACCATTTTTAAATTTGTTGTTAGTTTTCCCACTATTTTTTAATTTTAAACTACCACTACTAAATCAATACACTTTTTTGTTTGTAAATATAATTATAATTTTTTGTAAATAATTATTATAATATTTACCTACCCTTTATAAACGTTACATTTGGGTATGTTAAATTTATGCATATAGATCAATCAAAGATAAAATAAAAATCAATAATTAATATTATTTTGGTGTAAAACCTTAGCATTATGAATTAAAATGTGTATGTATATACATTAGGGTGTCCCTTATTTTTTATTTTTTTACGCATACCCTCTAATTATATTTATTACGTGTTTATATACTCCCAGTAAAAATTTCAGCTCATTCTATAAACGGGAACCCGTGCCGACTTGCATCTGAACCCTCCATTAGCCAACGTTAGGCGCGCGGTATTTTGTAACAAGGTTGGCCGCTAGGTCTTCGATCGTAAGTCATTTTGTGTTTATTATTATGTGACCCTTATATTATAAATTATTAAAAAATGTTAAAATATAGTTTTATTTATGTGTATACTTTAATAAAAATGAATATTTTTACAGGAAGTGGCTAGTTACCCGGAAGTGTCGGGTGAATAGGCCGTAAAACTAATTACCCGAAACTCTATTTTTTATTATATCTGAATGACAGCTAAAAAATAACCAAAAAAAAATTAGTTGATTTTATCCCTTAAATATATTAATATACTAATTAGTATTGCTAAAATATACTGTTATATGAAATTTCAGCTTTTTATAAGTATTTCTTTTCTTGGTGTCCTCCCAAAAATATTTCAGACAGTTTTCGGTAGTCATCTCTCACAATAGACTCTTTTAGTTATTTAGAGTAAATCCCGTTAAGTTTATCAATTTCAGAGTTTACGGCATATTCACTAGACCCTTCCGGGTAACTAGCCACTCCCTGTGAAAATATATATTTTTATCAAAGTATACACATAAATGAAACTATATTTTAACATTTGTCAATAATTTATAATATAAGGGTCACATAATAACAAACACAAAATGACTTACGATCGAAGACCTCGCGGCCAACCGTGTTACAAAATACCGCGCGCCTAACGTTGGCTCACGGAGGGTTCAGATGCAAGTCGGCACGGGTTCCCGTTTATAGAATGAGCTGAAATTTTTACTGGGAGTATATAAACACGTAATAAATATAATTAGAGGGTATGCGTAAAAAAATAAAACATAAGGGACACCCTAATATACATATTATATTTGGTTAAATTAATTAACACTGAATACTATGTATTCAGTGAGTAGTAGTTAACATTAATAATTCATTGTTTTATATAAATAAAATTATTGCCAATTTAGATATTATTTGTAGTAAAATAAAGCAATAAAATAAAGAAATTACTGCGGTTTATTTTTATAATTTTTTTATGGTAAGTAATTTTTACTGTTTTTGTTTTTATATAACAAACTATTAAAATGTATTTTTCATCAAAATATTGTAATAATCATTTTTTATTATAAAAACTTTTGAAGGTAAAATGTTTATTTTTTTTTTAAATTTAATATAGCCTGGATATTTTAATTATGAGCGCTAATAATAGAACTGTGTTATAAAAGTTTCGGTAGTTCAATATTATTAAATACTATATTATCTCCTATTGCATAATATAAGGTTTTTCATTTATAATGATAAGCATTATAAATTCCCTGCCTAACAACGGGAATAATAAACTCATTATTCACGGTGTTAGGTATCACTGATTGGCAGATTTCAATATTCACTGTTATTGGAACCATTCGGTTTTAAATTAGTAGAAGGTGACTATAATAACATTTAAAATTTGGTAAAATGTGAGCTTAAACATTTGACAGATGTCAGATTTTATTTAATTATTTTTGGAAATCATTTAATTATCTACTTATTGGAGTAGATAAAGTATAGTATTACACTCGAGATTATGCGCATTATTTCTTGTATAATTATGTATCAAGTTTAATAAACGCCATTTAAGTCACGAATTCAAATTAGGCATGGGCGAGCTTGCGAGCGAGTGTTTAATTTAATGAATATCTAGAAAAGTTTATATAATGGGTTTTAGGTTAGGTACAATTGTAACTTGACATAAGTTAAATTTTGCTTAAAAATTAAATATATAAATAATATAAAAATTAAATATTTTATCAAAGTATCAAATGTTTTTATTTTATAAATAATTTATTTTTATAAACAATTGGTTCAATCAAATTTAGTTTTAATATAAATTAATTTTTTATGGTCTTAAAATAAAAATAAATAATATTAGATGAGGTAGACTAATGCAATAGGGAAAAGGCAATTTTATAAGAACATTGACCCCAAAAACTAAATATTGCATTAATTAAATATTCGTAAATGAAAATTATTTTGAGATGAAAAACCTTTTCACAAAGTGTCGGAACAAGAAACATAAACTACTTTGCCAAAAGAAACAATTTGTAAGCGAAATTGACGTATATCAATTTACAATAAATTACACACAACTTTATAATTCGAGCTAACTTAAACAAACCCAGGGAGGGTTTTATTATAAAAAAAATAGTAAAATACGGTTTAAAATTGGTCACCCCAAATTTGTCCCACAGTGTAATTAAAAAAATATTATTTAAATTTAAAAGATAAAGTACAATTAAATATTTAATTAAGGCATACGTTTTGTTAAATTTGCTTAAATATTTAGTAGTATATTATGTATGACATTTTAGTCACTAGTTTTAATTAGGCATGAGCGTAGCTTGCGAGCGAGTTTAATTAACGAGTGTATAGAAAAGTTACGTGCATACTATAGTTTTTTTACGATCCAAACAAAAATTAAATAAAGTCTGTCAGAATATTTTAACCTCACTTTCTAGTCGCTTTATTTTGACGATTTGACAAGTCAAATAATAGTTGCTTTGGCAGAAATTTATTTAACAGTGTGGCCCATTTAAGATGGAAACACCCCCGTAACTTTTTTAATTATTACTCGATTTTATTAAA